AGCACTCTCTTGTTCTCAATTTTCCCCGAACAGTTTAGGGCGAGTCTTCTATGAATAGAGTCAGTCAGGATCGATAAACGTTCCCCCTTATACCAGGAATCCTTAGGGTGTGGAGGTGCCTGTCTCTAAGGTATTAACTTTTAAATTTTTAATATAATTTACTTCCTTCACTACTTCCTTCCTTCCTATCAAATGGAGCTTATCATAGGGTGATTGTGAATATAAATCAAGATAATGTCTTTAAAGCACTTAGTATAATGCTTGTTACTAGTGCGAATTTAGAATTGTGGTTGGTTGATAAGTATATGTTTGTATCTGTATATTGTCAATGCAAAATAACCAACAATCATTCTATAGATAAGAGAAATAACGTGAGTTTACTTGAGCCAGAGTGAGGATTATGACCCGAGAAGGCCTTGGGAAGCGTTCCAGAGAAGCATGGTTTTCAGTACAGTCTTATATCTTTTTAGAACAAAGAACATATATTAAACACACCCAGGATACATTTTCATCAAAATTTCAAAGAGATATTCAGTTGTAAATTAGCAGGTCAACATGACCATGATGTCAGGAAAGGGACTAATCCGGGCGTTACCAATAAGGTGTTACCAATAGGGTGTTACTTGTAAGAGGGAAAGTATGCATTCTTATCTTAAGAGAGTGTATTCTTTACTTTAATGGTTAAGCAGATGTACAATGTACGCTTGATAGGCCATAAGTCAGGCTTTTTAGTTGAAGCCGAATCAGTTTTGAACCCGAATAGCTACCCCGTAAACCCCAATATGTGAGAATCTCTTGTCAATATAAAATTCAGAAACACCGGCGAAATGAAAAAGGATGTCTTTGCCACCCAAACTGTAACCATGAGCCCTCTAGAGCCAGTCGAACAGACCCCATCTCTTATCAACAGAGTGATTAAGAATTGTTTTTCAGAAAATTTGCAAAGTCACATAGCCAGAGCATGTGCAGAAGAAGAAATCTTGACCTGAAATGACCACAGAACCAAAAATTGTCCTCCCCATGGAACCAAAGGACCAGGACGTGACCAGAACTTGAAAGTCAGACTCTCATCTGAAGCGAGGGGTCTGTCATCCAGGAAGATCCAGAGTTAAAATCCCTTTCCTAACTTACCATAAATGTTTAGAATCTTACCATAAATGTTTAGAACCTTACCATAAATGCTTAAAGTCCATCAGTCAAAACCTGTCCCGCCAGTGTTTCCATGTGCCTGTTTGGTTAAAAACTATAACCTTAGGGATAGAAGATAACTCCAAATATCTATTCAAGTTGAGATTATAATGAGTGCCTCCAGATGACTCTGGGACCCCAGGAGGCTGTAATCTTTAAAAAATGTTGAATGAAAAATAAACTCTATCCTGAGAAGGAAACAACACGGAAAATTTCCTCTATCAACCTTGACATTGGATGAAACAACAACAAAAAATGAATAAAAATGTGAAACAAGTATAAAGTAGAGAGAACTCAAAATATATCAGTAACCACTTTGAATAGAAAAGGACTACTTGACCATCTAAAATGCAAAGAATGTTGGACTGGAGTGTTTATAAAATATCAAAATATATGCTTGTGACTTAAAAATTACATGACTAAAACATTAAGACCACAAAAGACAAAAAATAAATATTTTAATGACTGGAGGCAGTTTTATAACTCCAACCTCCCACAGAGACTAGGAGAAAGGGGTGCTGTCTTCCTTGATGAGTGCATTTCAAAGGGATGGCTCCCAGGTCCTTGAGAAAGACATTCTTGGGTTGTAAAATGGGCAAGAAGTTTTTAAAAAAAAAGTTTACATCTTAAAGGGGCAGAGAAAGAATTTACAACTACAAGTTTTCTAAAGTAAATGCTCTAGGCAAGGGGAAGTCAGGGCCCAGAGTCAGCAAGAATCCTGTCTAAAGTTTAGCCAATCTGAGGGGGACATTAAGGCTTTCTTGGTCAATGGTAACAAAGTGACAGCTGGAGCAATCAAAAATAGTCATTAAAAACACAGAATATTTAAATGATAGAATTACAGGTTTAACTTAACACACATATATAAAATATTGCAAGGACCAATTACCTTGGTCTCTCAAAACAATAAGAGAATTTGATTTATTTTTCCTAGCCCACAATGCAAGTCTGAAAACATATCAAAGGGATGGTAAAACAGAACAGGTTCTCTGGCCACACGTAATTAACTTAGATTTCAATAACAAAATGACAACTAGAAAAACCCAAACATTTAAAAATTTTAAAACGCACTTCTAAATAACTCATGAGTTAAAAAGAAGTCATAATAGAAGGTAAAAAGTGTTTAAAATTGGATGATAATGAATTTTAAATTGAAGAAAAGAGCTAAACAGTAGTTAGAGGGAAACTTGTGCTTAAATGCTCACATTTTTAAAGAAAAAAGGCTTAACTAATAAAATCATTATCTAACTTAAGAAATTAGAAATAAAGAAAAAATAATACAAATAAAGCAGATGGAAAAAAGTAACAGAGTAAAATACAAACCTAATAAAATAGAAAACCAACAAGACACAGAAGATGAAAAAAGGATAAAGCCTTTTTTAAAAAGGCAAATAAAATGTATAAAAATCTGGCCAGATGGATAGTTAAAAAAAAGAGAAAGAGAAAGCACAAATAAACAATTTTGTAACGAAAAAGGGACATGACCACAGATGCTATAGTGGTCAGACAGATATTAAGAGATATTATAACAAATTTTAGTCCATTTCACATACACCAAATTGTCAAAAATTAAAATTTTGCACAATATTAAGTTTGTTCAATGACGTGAGGCAATAGAAACTCTTAATACTTGTGGAAATATAAACTCGTTCAGCCACTTTGCCAAATAGTTTAGTATTAAGCACATAAAAATTGAACATGTATAACGTGCCACAATCCCATCACTGGGTATAAAAGAAAAATCAAAAATGAAAACTGTTGGAGTTCTTCAAAGAGACATGTCCAAAAATGCTCATAGGAACATTGTTCTGAGTAGTGTGGGAGATCAAGATTTGGCCACCCTGAAATCTATCTCTTTACCTTGGTTCTTTTCTCTAGGGACATTTGACCTCCCCCACTAACTGCCTAAAGAATTTGACATGGTAGCTCCTTCCTGGAACAGATCTATCATGATGGCTGTAAAGATAACACAGGGTAAATGTTACAATAGGAAAGGCACCAACAAGCCCATCTTATCAGAAGTTCTGTCTCTCTGGCCACATTCTCTGGATGGCCCTGCGAGGAGTTGCCAGACAATCATTTACATTTATAAGGGAAATCTCCATTTGTAAAGGTATCTCCCTCTCTGTTTTGCAAAGAAGGGGGGATGGCCTCATTTCTAGAGGCTTATCAATGTGGAAGGTGAGGCCTTAAATCTGCATAATAACCTTACTCTTGTTTACTGTGCTTTAGTGGTAATCTCCTGTAACTGACTCCCCCCACCCCCAAAATCCTCCTTTGTCATTGGCTGAAAATGATATTTAAGACGAGAATTTCTGCTATTGTGCTGAGAAACGCAGTGTCCCTGCTTTCTCCCATGTATACATGTTATTAAACTTGGTATTATTTTCTCCTGCTAACCTGTCTTGTTGATTATTTGGCCAGCCAGAAGAACCTTAAGGGAAAGGGCAGAGGGAGATTCTCCCTCTTCTCCCGACAGTAGCAAAAAATGAGAATTTTACCCAAGTGTTTATTCACTGTAGAATGGATACATTTCGGTATATTTGTAAAAAAAAAAAAAGAAAAAGAATAAAATTTTGCCCATTAGGAATGTTATTCCCAATAGCTAAAATTGGGAAAGAACCTGCCTCTTCATTCACAGTTGAATGAATAAATTCTGGTATATTCATATCTTGGAAAATATATAGCTATGAAAACAAATGAGCCTCAAAAATATAACACTAAGAAAAAGAAACAAGTCTCAGAAAAATATAGCATGATTCCATTCATATCATGTATCAAAGCAGGCAAAATTTAACAGTAGGATAAATTTAAGGATAAATATATGGGTAGTATAAGTATCAAGCAAAGCTAGGGAATGAATAACATAAACTTCAGGATTGTGGTTAATGTTGGGGGAAAGGAAAGAGCATAAGACCAGAGAGGTTTATTCCGTGCAATTCTAAGGTGTTAGTAAAATTCTATTTCTTAATCTGTATAATAAGTACATGTGTGTTTACTATTTTTACTTAAATTTTACATGTACATTTATATTCCATTTGTTATGTATATGTTTAACATACAAAAAGAAAAAATATTTTACATACAAAGAAAAAGAATAAAGATGTATGGATCTTTTTTACTGAGAAAGATTTATGAGTCTAAGAAAACCAGAAGGAAAAAATAAAGATAAAAGCTGGAAATATTTAGAACAAATTAAAAAAATGGACCTTATAAATAAATAAAATATGTTACAACCTAATCCAGATGAAAAAGATAGAAAGATCAAGTATACAAATTTTTAAAAAGAGAGCAGGAAAATTACTAAGGAAAAAAATTACTAAAGAGAAAGTTTGGTTAAGGGGTTTCCTAGATGTCACCAAATCTCTAGCATGGTCAAAATCCCCATCCTTCTTCTTATATATGAGATTCAAAGTGTAGACATATTGGAAGGTAATGGAGATATTCACAAAGTAGTGAGCAGCTGGGGTGAAAGATTTCATCTGGATGTTCCTTTTAATTCTCACTTATATCTGCCCATTTAATGTACACAAGACAGCTTTCCTCTCCAGCACAGGAAAAGCTACAGGAAAAGCATTTCTTTCATGTCAATGTCCACTCAGAAACAATATATTGTGCTGGGTGCACTGGAGGTAACTTGACAATGGACTGGCTCTTCCTGACCTCAGCAAATACAATATTTTTCTTGTTTAGTTTTATAGTGTCTGCAGAACCAGAGAACTGACACTCAAAGTGGTAGCTGGATTCTTTTTACGATACTGTAATGGTGGATACATGTTATTATATAACTGTCAAGACCCATATAATGTACAAAATAAAAGCGAATCCTAGTGCAAACTATGGGCTTTAGTTAATAATAATGTCTCAACATTGTCTCTCAATTGTAGCAAATGTACCACACTAACGCAACATGGTGATAATAGGGGAAACTGAGAGGAGGGGTGACAGAGCATGTGGGAACTCATTCTACTTTTTGCTAATTTTTCTGTAAACCTAAAACTGCTCCAAAAAGGTCCATTTATTATTTTTTAAGTTGTATTGAATAAATTAACCAGAGATGGGGAGAAAAATGGGAAAGAATTCTCAGAAAAAGATGCTGATATGATATGATATAATGATAGAGTTGGAGGCTTAAATATCAGGCTGATTTAGGAGTTCATCATTGGGCTTGTTCCCTTTATTTAACATTTATGAAGAAAGAAGTGTTTCATTAATATTATTAAGGAAAGACAATTATTTGGACCCAATGTAAATATATATACTTTGTAGTTATAGTCAAAAGAGTAATGGGGCCGGCCCGGTGGTGCAAGCGGTTACGTGCGCCTGCTCCACTGCGGCGGCCTGGGGTTCGCAGGTTGGGATCCCAGGCCACACCATGGCATGGCTTGGTAAGCCATGCTGTGGCGGCGTCCCATATCAAGTGGAGGAAGATGGGCACGGATATTAGCCCAGGGCGGGTCACCCTCAGCAAAAAAGAGGAGGATTGGCATCGGATGTTAGCTCAGGGCTGGTCTTCCTCACAAAAAAAAAAAAAAAGAGTAAAGATTGAAGTTCATTTCATAATTCAAGTTAAGATTCAAACAGTCACAGCAGTGATCACAAAGTCATAATAACTAAACAAAATCGTTTCCAACACTGTTAGCACATAGAACTAGCCAAGGATGCCAACTGCAGAGAAGCCTACTTAAAATTATACAATAAAAAAGCCAATTCATTTTCCTCCTGGGATTCAAGATGCACTGCCCTAATTAGAGGCAATCTGAGACACCTAACCAAGCTAGGACTTGGGACATTCTATGCATCTTTACAATCTTGGGAGGCAGATAAATGAGGCATCAAAATCTAGGGGGGTGGATAAAAATGAAGTATTTTTATGAGCCTTGTCTTCCTAAGCTGACTGACGTCATGCTATCTCTAATGTGATCTTTGAGTATAAAAAATATTAACATTTAGGTACTTAGATTCATCAATCTAATTTTATTTTTAATCTGTATTATAATACTATTGATTTCCAAATGGTTTGACATGCTATGTGCAAGTGCATTAATTCCTCCTGGCTGAAGGAGTACAGGGAAACCTGTCACATGGACAGGCTGGCAAAGAACTTTGTCTGCTGCAAATTGCATTGAATTTAGTACAAGGTAAATGACCTATTTACTTCATAGGTTACTACAGAGGCACAGTTCTTTGTCTCTGCTAATGCACCGCAAACTAGGAAGGAAGCGGAGTGGGCTGTTAAAAGCGCTACAATAACAAATGGGGACTTGTTTCTAAAGATTTTGTCCTGCTCCATTAGCTCTCTTTGGTGCAGCTTAATTTCTGTCTACGAATATAATGTATTATCAGATGCCATGCTTTGGGAAGCGCTGTAGCTTTTTTCCCTTCAGAGAGAAAGGCTGTGTCACAGGATCACTTGGGTTGCTATTTTTCTGTTGAGGGGTTATATGTGTTCAGGCCAGCAACTTCATTCAAGATCCTAACAGTGACTGGATGTGAAACATGCCTCCTAAGTGTCCTCACGTATTTTAACACGTGTAACTACAGCTTGAAAAATCCTTGCTGTTAGAAACAAGCAGCCTATTGCTTTGCCTTCAATTAAGTGACTCCCTCAAATTCTTGCGCTGACAATCTGGCATCACACCTAAGCATTTTTTTTTCTCTCTCTCAAAGATTTTCTGAGCAGCTGCTGTCATACTGCACTGCATGCTGGGGCACTAGATTTTGAAAGTTTTTTGCCACTTTTGCTTCTTGGCAAGAAACGAAATAGGAAAGAAGGAAGAGCAGACATCCACATATAAACTATATCCGCGTGGCCACTCCATTTGCTGGCTTTTCTCATGAGCAACCTCACAACAGATGGAGAAGATTCCTCTCAACTCCGTGGCGTTATCATAAAGTAAGTTTCTAAAATAAAACTTAATATTCATCCTGACTAATCTAAAGATACCATTTCCACCAATTATAGAGATTTATTTAACCTCGTATCATCAGAAGTTCACTGGCTCTAAGAGTAAAGGATGTAAAGGGCAGAGCAAATTTGATTCTTTTTGATTCCTTTATTCCTTAATGAAAAAATTGTTTTCCTTTCACACACAAAATGAATTAAAAGCCAAAATAAGTGAATATTTCTTTATATTAAATATATAATATTATACAGGGATTGCTAATCTTCCAATGGATTCTGAGTAGAAGAGCAGAGATTAAATGTAAAAGTGAAAGGATGTGGTACCAAATGTTTTGAATGGTTCTTTCTGAAGCACATAATTCTTTTTTATTTATCAACACTGAGAATTTGTGTCCATATCTAAGCTCTCCAACATTCATCTTAGAATTCCCTAAAGTGCTAATTTGAAAATTATTAAGACATTTAGTTTTGCTTTCTTCAATAACAACGATTGTAGGTCAGAACCCATTAGATGAGTGGAAAAAGCTTGGGGAGACCATTGGAAATATAATTATAGGAATGAGGATGTCAGTCTTTGATAAAAGAAGAACGAGTTTGGCATAAAGTTACCACTTTCAAATGCTATCATTTAATAAATAGAAACTATTACTATAAGATTTGAAACCTTCTAGTCAATAGCCATAGGCAAATCACTGCAAAACTAAGCAATAAGGAAATGGTCCTAAAAACTAGCTCAAGAATGCTCTTCTCATGCCTTTGAAATAGTGGAATAGACGCAGGCAAATGGGATAATCACACAGGTCAACTGTTTTCCAAAATGATCCATCATTGTGATATTTTTCTCTAGAAGTCTGGCTAGATATTTTGATGTCCCAAGGAAACATTTTGAAAGAGGTTTTTGATTGCTGTGTAACAAATCACCACAAATGTAGTGGATTAAAACAACACAAATTTATCATCTCACAGTTTCTGTGGGTCAGGAGTCTGGGCACAGCCTAACTGGGTCTCCTGCTCAGGGTCTCACAAGCCTACAATCAAGGATTGCCTGGGATGCATTCTCATCTGGAGCTCAGGGTCCTCTTCCACGTGTATTCAGGTTGTTGGTAGAATTCAGTTCCTTGTGGCTATAGCACTGAGGCCCTCAGCCTCTAAAGGCCACCCATTTCCCTAGCCAGTTCATGACATGGCTATTTGCTTATTCAAGGCCAGCAGGAGAGCTTCTTGCTTTTAAAGGGATCACCTGATAAAGTCAGGCCCGTTTGCAAAATCACTTTATCTTTTCCACATAATATAAAATAACCACGGGAGTGATATTCCATCATATGCACAGGTTGCATCCAAATTCAAAGGCAGAGGATTGTACAGGACATGGGTCATTGGGGTTATCTTAGGTCTACCACAGACCCCTTCCAATGAACTTGTTACTGACTTTCATCTCCTTCCTTAAACACAATACTTCCATATACTGTGGATCTCCTTTCTTCTCCAGCTCCCATCGATCTTTCAGCCAGGTTAACCTGTCACAAAGAGACTCTAAGTCCTATCCCTCTACTTTCTCTGGTTCCCAACTCAAGTTCTTCAAAATTTCCTGACTCTGAACTTCCATACACTCCTCTATTGTTCCATTCGTCCCCTAAAATAACAATTCATCTCCCTTGAATTGCTCTCCACTCTAGATAACCACCACCTACCACTTTCCCAGGGTAGTATTGTGATGTTTAGGACTCATGTGTTCATGAAGAGTAAATCTTGCTGGGTAAGGATTGAGAGAGATGCACATTAATCTTCTAGAGTGTCTTATCAAGGCCCTATAACTCCAGGAAACCAGAATCAGCATTCCCAGTACCACTTCACAATCCAGACAATACCAATTAGTGACAGTAGGATTTCATGTCATTTCAGATATTTTTATATAACAATAGGATGAGTATTTCTAAGTTACAAATTATGATCTTTAAGGCTTAATCTATTTGAGATGATATTTTCAGCTAATATCCTTGTGTTTATTTGTGTTTTTTCAAGTAAGAGCTAAATTTCTTTTATTTATGAAACATGTTCACTATCTTAATATCTTATGATGCCTTAAGGAATCATATGTTTCCTGTTTCAGAATATATACATATATAATAAAATATAAATATGATAGGAATGAGAAACTCTAACTTCAAGAGAGTGGTCATTTCTGAGGAAAGAGAGGGAAATGGTGTTAGGAAGAACAGAAGAAGAGAGGAATGATTGCCTCTGTAATGTTTTCTTTCTTAGGCTTCTTGGTGAATACATAGGTGTTCAATATATTATTGAACTCATTTTGTTTTTGCTGAGGAAGATTCATCCTGAGCTAACATCTGTTGCCAATCTTCCTCTTTTTTTGCTTGAGGAAGATTAGCCCTGAGCTAACATCTGTGCCAATCTTCCTTCACTTTGTATGTGGGTCGCTGCCACAGCATGGCTGACAAGTGGGTGTAGGTCTGAGCCTGGTATCTGAACCCATGAACCTGGGCCACCAAAGTGGAGCGTGCCGAACTCAACCACTAGGCCACAGGGCCCGCCCCTGACCTCATTTTTTAAAACCATTTAAAGTCTGTGGAAATGATCCTAAAAACATACAGCAAACGAAGAAACATTTATTCAAGAAAATCTACTAAAACTCAGTGATAATAGCAATAATCTGTGCCGTCTGAACCACAACCCACTCCCTTCTCCCTGCCTCTCTGCCTAATGTGACAGAAATTCCACTCCAGGCAGCTAAGAACACAGGGCTCCCTCTTCCTCCAGCCCCCTGTCAAGGGCTACAGTGTCTTCTCAAGAGGGGCAAAGCATCAACATTTCTCATACCACTCCACAGCTACTTGTTGCACAACTAAGTTCCCAGTAAGTGCTGCCACGAGTTTGGGGGCTCGCTTCTTCTGCCCAGCCCCCACCTGTGGGAGGAAGCTTTACATCTTATGTGTGCATGGCACACTAAGAATACTGGGGCCCCAGCCACAGCTCTTTCATAGGTTCCAGATTAGGAGAGGCAAGAAAAGGAGACCAGAGGCTACCACCCCCTATCCAGTGCCCAGCAACTAAAGCAAGAGTGTCACTCAGAGAAAAGCATACCACTGTCCCCAATCCCAGCTCCAGAGCCATGGTTCAGAGATTTTGTCCAGAGGAAGAGGCAGGCCATAAACTAGAGAGCTCTGAAGCTCTACCCAAGAGAACTGATCTTATTTGAAACAAAATGTGAGCAAGTTCAAACCTAAGGGTTCTCTCACAAACTATGGAGGTTTTGGTGGAAAGCAATTAAGAGGAGGCTAGTAGCTTCATTACAGATATGAACTAATTCATAGACCAGATAGTCTATCAGAAGGAACTAGGGAAAAGGAAAGCTAAGAAGAGCTCTCCTAGGGTCAGAACAAATCTCAAAAACTGGCCTCAAACACTATCCCTGCAAGGGACCCTGAATTTAACTATAGGTTTTCCTACATTTATGGTGGGGTTATGTCTTGATAAACCCATCCGTAAGTTGAAAATATCCTAAGTTGAAAATGCATTTAATGCACTTAACTTACCAAACATCATAGCTTAGC